AGACATTTCAACACTTTTCACATTCTTTCTGGAACCCAGGCCTTTAAATTTTAGGATATTAACTCACAGGCAAATAAAGACTACAAATGAACAAACTTTACACGGAGCAATACAACCTAGAAAATGAAAACTGCTTCCTTAAGGTTTTATTGACAGCAGTTAAAATGACTTTTAAGAATAAAAGCAATCAAGTAATTTTTTGTTTTATAAGTATCCAAAAATTATACTAGAAAATCTGAACACAAATAGGTATAGAGTATTACATAATATCACCATGTTCCCTGGTCCACTTGCTTTGATAGAGTTACTAACCTTAGTTTTGTCATTTTGTGAAGACATTTGAAATTTGACTTTAGTCAGTTTTCTTTCTAAATCCATCAGCCTCCTAAGTGCTGGGATTATAAGCGTGATCCTCTATGCTTAGCCAAGTGAGATGTACTTTAAACAAGTAAACTCTAAAAGCAAACCAGCTAATCCAACTAAGCATTCACTGTCAGTGACTCCAGATACCAATAACCAGTTCCTACAGATAAGCAGCACTACCAGCATTCTCATTCAATAAGTCAACGGAGATGACAGCAGTGCAGAGGAGTTTAGGTTACGGTCATGACAAGTGCACATTTGATTACCTTTCTGAGATTAAAATGTTTAGCCGTAGAATTATTTTATATAAATAGACATGAACCATCTTACTCATTCCTGCCATCTTATTACAGCTCACAAATCCAAAACTTAATGTATTCAACTGAGTTGCTACAAAACAGGCCTAAAATGAGAGTGCTGCGTAAGGAATTTAGGAATCATCTCTCAAAGTTGGGCATGAAAAAATATCACTTGCCTGGGTTTAGCTTTACCTCTACGTCTGATGGAGCAGGACAAAATCCTGTCTAAAAGTGCTCCTTCAGAACATGGCCCTCCTTCCGCAGAAGCTACCTTCCTGGCAATCCTCTGACTCAAGAGTTTTCCGTTATAGTTGAGCGTTTCACTTAGAACTCAGTGTTATCAAAAGATGTTTTCTTTCTTTGAATCCCCCAAAATTCCAAAAATGTATCCCTCTCAACATACAAGGAACAAAACTGATATACATATGTGTACAAGACTTAGTCATTTTCATTTTGATATTAGTTTATATCTGAACTTATCTACATAGTACCTGTTTTGTGGTTGTAATTGGTTTTAGCTATGAAAATTATATACAAGGAAATTAGGGGTGTTGCAGTACTTGGTTGCAAATAATTTGCCATCTGGTGTTGGGTCAGAAAATGCTATTTCATTAGTGTTGAGAAAACAGCCAAACATGAAGCAGTTCCTAAAAAAAAAAAAAAGGAAGACCATTTATGAACTTAAAATACTGATGAAACCGAAGCACGATGATACAAATAATTAAAAATCACATATTTTGGGTAATAGACTGCCTTGGGTTTCAGAGATGGAAATCTAGGGTATCCCAGAGGAGGAAACTCAATTCCAGAACAGATTCTGCTGAGAGACAAAGGAAAAGTGCTGACCATACAGCTGACAAGACTGTCCCTGACAATGAGCACCTAATGAGGTGTCATTGTTCCTTAAAAGGCACAGATAATTAATACAAAAGAATAACCAGGGCTGGCCAGTGGGTAAAGGCACTGCCACCAAACCTGGGGGCCTGAGTTTGATCTCTAGGGCCCACATGATGGAAGGAGAGAATCAACTCCCTAAAGTTGTCCTCAGACCTCCACACATGTGCATGCACACACACACACACACAAATACAAACACAAAAAAATCAAGAGTAAGCAGCACCAATATGTTGTCTCTGCGACAGGCTTTCCTATATAACCAGGCTAGCCTTGGTCTTCCTACATCAGATGAAAGCTACCATAATCAGTCTTGCCAACAATTTTATCCAGAAACTATTTGTCTCAAATCAAACACACAGAGACTTGAGGGCAAAAATCTAATGTGTAACTTCACTCAATCTTATTCAGCTAGAACTAAAAGTCATAAAAATGAGAGAGTTAAGTGAGGTTCAGGGCTGGCAGGATGGCTAAGCAGTTAAGGGCATTTAGCATCCTTATCTGATAATCTGAGTGAGTTTGAACCCCAGGACCCAAATGGTAGAAATAGAGAACCGGCTCCTGCAAGTTGTCCTCTGACCTCTACATGCATGCCATGGCACACACATGCCCATATACACATACATACCCCCTAAGTAAATACATATAAACAGTTCACAAACTTCCAGGGATAGTCTATAAGATAACTAGCTATACTCTTTATGATGGCTAGTTTTGTCAACCCAATCGAATTAAAACATAGAGGACTTAATAAAGCACACCTCTGGGTATATATAAGTGCTTTTGTATATACAATAGATCATGAGGCTCTGGCCTAATAGATTTGTCCCTTGATGGACTCATAATATGGCACTCCTGGGAGGTGGTAATAGGAAACAGGTCTCTGGAGACATGTGCTTATGTGAGCAATTTTGACCTGGCTCCTCCCTGTATTTCCCCTTCTCTGCTTCCTGGATGCTATGAGGTGAGCTGCTCATCAATGCCCTCTCTTCCAAGATGGACCGACACGTTTAAAACCATAAACCAAAAATAAAGGCTCCCAACTTTAGACTGTCAGGCATTCTGTCACAACAAATTGGTAAATAAAACACTTGGAATTTTCAGTATTATAAAAGACAAAGAGGAGCTAATAAACTGTTCCAGATTAAGGGAGATAGTCTTATAAAGAACATGGGCATGGTGCTGCACACCTGTAATCCCAGCACTCAGCAGGCTAAGGCCTTGCATCAAAAAATATAAAAAAATGAAAGTACATGAGTTATAATCACTAAATACAGTGGAATTTATACAGAGAAAAAACAAAAATCCAATGAAAGACACTTGAGACAACATGAAAAATAAACCAGTTACATAAAAGTTTGTCAATATTCAATTTCTGGAACTTGTAATTATTCTGGAATTATTTAAGAAAATATTCTTGTTCCTAATAAAAATAGGTGGGGGTTAGAGAGATGGCTCAGCAAAGCAGTTAAGAACACTGGCTGCTCTTGCATTACATGCCCAAGTGTACTTACATGCATGCAGGCAAAAAACTTTTCACATAAAAAGAAATAATAAAAAAGGGGGCTGGAGAGATGGCTCAGTAGTTAAGAGCACTGGCTGCTCTTGCAGAGGACCTGGGTTTGGTTCCCAGCACCTACATGGCAGCTAACAACTGTAACTCCAGTTCCAGGGAATCTGATGCCCTCTTTTGACCTCCATGGGCATTGCAGGACATGGGTGCATTTACATACACATGCAGGCAATACTCATATACATACAATAAACATAATAAAATTTTTTAAAAAATTAACAAAACCAAAAATTTTAAATAAATAATAAAAGAAAAAAAAAAAAAGAAAAAAAAGAAATACAAATAGCTAGAAGCTAGGTGTACTGGCATATCCCTTTAATCCCAGAACTCGGGAGGCAAAGTCAGGCAGATCTCTGAGTTTGAGGTCAGTGGGGTCTTCATATGAAGTTCCAGGCCAGCCAGGGGCACATAGTGAGACCTTGCCTCAAAACAAAACAAAACAAACAGAAACAGCTGAACATGGTGGTGCACACCTGCAATTCCAACATTTGAAGCAGAAGGATCACTTTAGGTTCAAGGACAGCCAGGGCTAATACTGAGACCCTATCTCAACCACACCCACACATATAAAAGAAAAAACAGAAAGAAACAAAGAAAAGAAAGAAAAAACTGCACACCGAAACTAGGCATAGAATACATACTGAATATTTTCTTCCAGTGCCCACGTTTGTCTCAGCCTAAGTCTGACAGTTTATACAAATGTTTAACTAACATTCTTGCCTTTGTCTCATGAGCCAGGGGAGGCTGTGGGAAAATTAAGAGCCAATGCCCACTAGTCTGGACCTATGTTTCCTTACCTGACAGTATCTACCAGTCGTCTTGCAATGCGCTTTCTTCTTTTCAGCCTGAAGACCCAGATTCTACTTATCCCACAGACAGCAGGTTCTGGTACATCTGAACATTGCCAAGCTCTAGAACACTCTTTAGAAGCATTTGGTTCCGACAGGACCCGAAAGGCCTGCAATGATACACAGAGGCATCTGGTTGAAAACAGAGTTCACTTTTCTTTAAAAAGCAAAACAAAGGCAGGCATGGTAGCACATGCCTTTAATCCCAGCACTCAGGGAGGCAGAGCCAGGGGGATCTCTGTGAAATGGAGGCCAGCCTGATTTACATATCGGAGTTCCAGGCCAGCTGGGGGTACAGGGAAACCTTGTCTCAAAAAAAGCAAAGCAAAGCAAAACCTATCTACAGTTAATCATATTTCCACAAAAACAGTAAAATTCTCTGCTGTGTCTTGAATTCTTGTTCTTTTAGCCACACAATGCTGAAAACCATTAGTGTGATGGAGATACACCCCTGTGCGTGTTCATTCCTCAGCATTATGAAAAGGATCCTTTTGATTAAAATGGTAAAATCAAACTCTTACAAAAGTACATAAAATGTCTATCCACACCATCATAAAATGTATTACAATAATCTAACAGGCAAAACAATAATGAACATTACTTTTTAAAAAATTATTTAAATTTAAAAGGAAAGTTATTTTGAAATAATTATAGACTCACAAGATGAAAAGAACAGTATAAAGGATTAATATAATCCTTTCCCAGTTTCTCTCAATTGTTACATCTTCCAAAGCTATACTAACATCCCCACACCAAGAAGCCGACACTAGTGTTCTATAGTTCCTCGACATATACGTGTTCTTCTCGTTAGGCATCACCACCAGCAGCACACAGAACTACCACCACAAAGTCATCTTCCTGCTCCTCTTTAGATACATCTACTTCCCTCCCCCCACAATCCCTGTAAGTACTCCATTATAGCTTGTGAACTTCTAGACTGGCTGTTTTTCACTCAAAATAATACCCTTGAGATCCATCCATTTATGTTATTACATATGTTGCAATAAATGCAAACTAGAAAAGGACACAACACAGTGAAGAGACAACCTAGAAGTTTGGAGGAAATATCGACAAGTTATATACCTAGTAAGGAGTTAAAGTCCAACACACTCAGGAAATACAGACAACTCAACAGCAAGAAAACCACCTGAACATGCCAACAATGGGCTAGTGAGCTAGCTCATGGTAAAGGGGCTTACTGTGCAAATCTGACAATCTGAGTTCAATCCCAGATCCCACAGTACCAGGAGAGAACCAAGTCCTGAAAGTTGTCCCCTGACTTCCACATAGGCGTGCCCCACACTCTTAAACACATAATAAAAATTTTAAATATTTATTTTATTTTATGTGTATGAGTGTATTGCCTGCATTTATGTAAGTGCACTCGTGTCATGCAATACCTTTGGAGGTCAGAAGAGGGTGTCAGATCTGGCACTGGAGTTATAGATGATTGTTAGCTGCCTTGTGGGTACTGAGATTCAAACCCAGGACCTCTACAAGAGCAGTCAGTGCTCTTAACCACTGTGTTATCTCTCTAGCTCCATAAAATTAAAATTTTTTAAATGGGGTAAGGACCTGAATACCCCTTTTGAAAAAGAAAACATACAAATGGACCATGGGTATATGAGTAAATGCTCAGCATTAGTATCATCAGAGAAATGCAAATTAAAACAACGTTGAGGTATCTCCCATACCTGTTAGAATGGAGGGGAGCCCTTGTATGCTGCTGGTAGGAATGTTACTTAGTATAGTCAATAATGGAAAATAACATGGCAGTGTCTCAAAACGAACACACCAAAACTAAATCCCGAAACGAACAAAAAACCCTACTGTGTGAAACAGCACTCCTATTCCAGGGCATAGATCCAAAGATAAACAGGAAGTTGAAGAGAGATCTGCACGCTCAGGTTCACTGCAGCATTATATACAATAGCCAAGATACAAATCTCATTTTTTTTTTTTTTTCCTGGTGTTTCTGAGACAGGGTCTCCCAGTAGCCCTAGCTGGCCTGGAACTCACTATGTAGACCAGGCTAGCCTTGAACTCACAGAGATCCGCCTGCTTCTGCCTCCCAAGTGCCACAAATATCATCTTAACTGCCACAAATATCATCTTAAGTGTCCATCAATGAATGAATAAAATACCCAAGGAAATTCTATTCAGTCATAAGATGAAATCCTGTCATCTATGACAAATGTATGAACCATAGTACTTCATGCGCAACACAATCAGCTATCACAAAAACAGTTCTTGCATGATCTAATTTAAATGTAGAATCTAAAAGTTGAACTCACAGAAGCACAGAACAGAACGGCAGTTGTCAGGAACTGGAGAATGGTGAGGGAAGATAATGGGGAATGTCTGTCAAAGGTACAAAGTTTCATAGGATAAGTTCTGGAGGGGTAGGGGTGTGTGTGTGTGTGTTCAATATATTGACTATTGTTAAGATTTACTTAAGCCAGGCCTGGTGCTGTAGGCCTCTGTGTGTGTGTGTGTGTGTGTGTGTGTGTGTGTGTGTGTGTGTTCAATATACTGACTATGGTTAAGATTTACTTAAGCCAGTCCTGGTGCTGTAGGCGTGTGTGTGTGTGTGTGTGTGTGTGTGTGTGTGTGTGTGTGTGTGCGCGCACAATAATTTGACTATGGTTAAGATTTACTTAAGCCAGGCCTGGTGCTGAGGCAGGTCCACCTAGTCAACTTAGCAACACTGGACATCAAACCTAAAACTTTGTGCATGCTAGGCAAATATTCTACTGCTGACTAACACCCCTAATCCTTTTTGTACTTTCATTGTCAGTAAAAGTGGTCCCTTCACTTTTGTTTGAGACAAGGCCTCCCTATGCCCTTGGCTGGCCTCACCCACAGACACCTGCCTGCCTCTGCCTTCTAAATGCTGGGATAAAAGATGTGCGCCATCATGCCTGGTTCCCCTTTTCCGTCGTACTGTCAATACAAACAAGCTGTTTTCCTCTAACATCTAATAATAAAAAGAAGTTCTTTTCTAGAACACTGTGCGAATTGGAATCTAAAGTAGATTCTAGCTGGGCATGATGGTGCTTGCTTTTAATATTAAAACTCAGGAGGCAAAAGTAGCCAGGGCTACATAGTGAGATCCTGTTATTTGGGGAAAAAAGCAGATTATAATTAAGGAATGAGCACTATTTTGCCAAATACATTCAGTAAGCTGCCATGTAATAATTTAGGTCTACAGATCTGCTTATAACATTGCTGTACTTTTATATTCCATGGATGGAAATAAGGATATGAAAAAGACAGACTTACTCTGCTCATCAGACAAAATAATGAACACAATGTAAACAAATGAATTTAACTACACATAGTTAAGGATATTTTAACAGAAAAGTCATGAATTGTAGAATTATTCAGACTTCTTTCAACCACTTTTCTCAAAAATTATGCCCACAATTTAAGACATACTATACCTGGCTGATGGGCTCTGCAATTAAACATCCAACTACTTTCTTTTCATCAGATACAAAGAGGAAAGTTTTGGTTTTGTTTGGATACTTGGTAACAACTTGCTGGAAGCCCAATTCATGATCAACAAGTTCTTGGACATCTTCTACCTAAATGGTGTTAAAAGCCAGAAAGTGAATTTGTTTTAAAAAGCATAACAGAAACTAAGCATACTTATACTCACAAAACATATGATTACCATCATTTAGCTTTTTAAAATAAATATATCCTAAACTTATACATGCCCAAACTTATTTCAGAATTGATGCACATACCAGGTACTCAGGGAGATAAGGTGTAAGAGGCACCAAAACAGATTTGGTTTAGTTGTATTTATTGTTCCTGTCAGTTAGACATTCAACTCAAGAAACACAGGAAACACCAACATAAGAAACAGACTGGACCATTAATTTTTCAAACCTAAAAAGCCTAGTTTACCTTTCTCAAGTGAAGGATGAAGATAAAAGATAATAAAAGCTGTAGAGCCTTACATGGTTTCTTTAATCTACAAATGACACGTTTGTCTTATAATTTGAAGTTTGATTTTATACAAACCGTTATGAAAGTTATGCTTAAGCATGTACCAAAGTGGGTTTTTATCAGGAAAGCAGGTGACACACCAACATTGGTGGATTTCCTAAGGGTGAGAGAAGATAAGAATTTAAAAGGTAAATCTCATACCTTTTTGAGAGCATAGCTTGGATCACGAGGCAGGACCATCACAATCTTCCCGTCCCAATATTCTGCGACTACCCGTTCTCTTTTCCAGCCCTGTCAAAGGGGGAAAAGAGTTAAGTTATACATAAAACACATAAAATAATCTGTTCTGTGGAGGACAAAAGGTCAATGACTGATTAAAAAAAAAGGCAAGATGGAGGATCTTTGCCACCACTGCTCATACAGCAGACAAAGGCCTTAATCAGAGACGCTTCTCTTTGCAGTACATAATGATGAATACAGAGCCTTATGGGTACCCAAGGTACTGAGCCCTAAACAGGACATTTGCATCACTCCCTCTAAGGCTCAGAGAACATCTTAGAAGAGGGAGTGGAAAGAATTTAAGAGCTGAAAGAGAGGGAGAAAGGCTGGAAATGTCATCTTCTGGGCATGGCCTAGTCATTACATCACGAACAAGACTGGGGCTTGTCAACAATCACACATGGATGGGGAGGGGCCCTTCCTGCTAAACTATTGGCAACAGATGAATTGGGGGACAGTATCTTCAGTCATGTACACACTGGTGAGCCCATCAGGCGCCACTGGATAGTTCCAAAAAAAATCAGACTAGGAAGAAGGTTTAGTGGGTAAGAGCACCTGCTGTACCATGTGTGGCTGCACATTTATCTGTGAACCCCAGCACTGCACAGGTGGAGAGGGATTGCTGGGTGCTGGCTGCCAGCACAGCTCCAGATTCCTTGAGAGACTGTCTCAAAGGACAAATTTGATTAATTAAAAAAGTAAAAAATAAAATTTCAAGGACAAGATGAAATCTAATTAAAAGTAACATGACAAGCAAATGAAAGATTCTTAGAACAAATGCCCACAAATGAGCTAATACCCCAGGATTCTGTTTAATCCTAGCACTTGGGAGGCAGAATAACTCTCATTTTCATATCTTCCCACTTAATGGCCCTGTCCTATTCCTCTAAGGACATTATGATGACACAGTCCTACAAAGCCTACTGATTATGCTAATTCTCTCCTTACATGGCTTCCCTCAGTGAACCTTATCTGTGCGTGTGCATCTGTGACATGTGTGTGCCTTACATTTCTGTCCCGTATGCTTGACAAGATGAAGCTCACTATCTTGCCACTCTATAATCTCAAGCCCCAGCACAGTGCAGGGTTTACTTACACTAGGATTGTCAGTTTGAAACAGTACTGGAAAACCTAACCTTTGGGCTGAGGTAGAGCCCCATGGTTGTGTTTGATGCTTAGCACTGAAGGAAAAGAAAAAGCAAATTTGTTAGTAGTACCAACCTCAGCTATTTTCATTCCCAGCTTTCTTCTGGGGAGCAGGGGGAGGTAGGTGTGTGTGTGTGTGTGTGTGTGTATGTGTGTGGTAACTAAATACATGTGTGTGGTGTACATGCCAGCCAGAGGACATCAGGGTCCTACTCTAGCATTCTCCTCTTTATTTCCTTGAGACAGTCAGTCTCTCATGGAATCTGGAGCTGTGCTGGTGGCCAGCACCCAGCAATCCCTCTCCACCTGTGCAGTGCTGGGGTTACAGGGACGTGTGTGGCCACACCTGGTGCAGCAGGTGCTCTTCCCCACTAAGCCTTCTCCCTAGTCTGATTTTTTATTTTCTTTTTCATTCATTTATATTTTATGTGTATGAGTGGTATGTTTCCGTGTGTATAAGTGTATGTGTGTCATGCAGTACCTGCAAAGGACAGAAGAGGGTGTCAGTTCCCCTGGAACAGGAGTTATGGATAGCTGTTAGCTGTCGTGTGGATGCTGGGATATGAACCGAGGTCTTCTGCGAGAGCAGCCAGTGCTCTTAACTGCTGAGCCATCTCTCCAGCCCTAGTTTGTTTTCTTGAGACTGGTTTTCACTTTGCAGCCCAGATGAGCAGACTGGTCTGGAACTCGCTATGTATCTCAGACCAACTCTGAACTCACAGTGACTCTCCTGCCTCAGCCTCCCAAGTGTTGGGATTATAGGTGTGAGCTACCACACTTGGCTAGCTTTAACTTCTAAGGACAAGAAAACTACAGACAATGAAATATTTATATCTACATCTATATAGCTCTTCCAATAATTAAGGGAACAAAATATTTTCTTTGAGGCAGCTTTACCTTTGGAGCAAACTGAAAGCCTTCTTTGACTCACCATGTATGTGATTCCCTCCAGAAACCTGTGGTGATACTGGAGATGCTGCATTTCATCCTCAGGGTTGGAAACAGTATAGATCATGCCACAGGACTTACACAGAGTCGTCCCAAAATGCTTCTGACCTGCATCCTGCAACCGAAAAACAAATGAACAAACTCAAAACTGAAGAACTAGGACAAACAATTGAACTTCTTGATGAAGTTCCAACAACAAAAAAGTCTGATTTCAAATCTTCTTAAACAGTAATTTTGTCCCTAAAAGTGGTTTCAGCATGGCACACGTGCACTTCTATACAAGCAGGCAAAACATCATGCACATAAAATATAAAAACTTCTAAAAAGTGGTTTGAAATGTTAAATTCTTTATATTAAAATTCCTTGCCTCAAGATTTGATATCTACAAACCCCACTCTCTCATAAAGCATTATTATTTTTTTATATTTTATTTATTTTTATTTAATGTGTATGGGTATACTGCTTACATGTAGGTAAGTACACCCATGTCATACAATGCCCATGAAGGTCAGAAGAGGGCATCAGATGCCCTAGAACTGGAGTTACAGACGATTGTTAGTCACCATGTGGGTGCTGGGAATTGAGCCCGGGTCCGCTGCAAAAGCAGTCAGTGCTCTTAACAGCTGAACCATCTCCCTAGCCTCATAAAGCATTATTTTTAATATCATTGAAAATACCAGATTCTGGGGCTAGAGAGATGGCTCAGTGGTTAAGAGTCTACTCTTCCAGCAGACCCAGGTTCAGTTCCCAGCACCCACATGGTGGCTCACAACAGTCTGTAACTCCAGTTCTAGGTGATACAATGCCCTCTTCTGGCCTCCACAGGTACTGCACAGCATGGGTGCACTTACATGCAGGCAAACTCAGAAAAATAAATCCCCCCACCCCAAATTAAAACACCAAGTTTGTAATTATCTAATACAAGGGCTCGCAACCTATTTCTGCAAAAAGCCAGAAGTAAGAATTTTAGGCTTTCAGGCTTTTCACTGTTGAGGTTTGAATGACAAATGTCCCCTATAGGCTCATGTATTAGAACACTTGGTCCCTAGTTGGTGGTGCTGTTTGGGGAGGTTATGGAAACTTTAGGAGATGCAGCCTTGTTGGAGTACTTCACTGGGGGAGGACTTTGAGGGTTTATAGCCTTGCCCCACTTCCTGCTGTCTTGCCCCACTTCCTGATGTCCTGTCCCACTTCCTGCTTGGGGATGAAATGTAATCAGCCAGCTTCCTGTTCCAGCTATCCGCTGCCATGGCCTGCTCGCCATCATGTATTACCTGTCTGGAACTGCAAGCCAAAATAAACCCATTCTTCTATCTTCTATAATTGCTTTTTTGTTTGTTTTTTTTTTTGAGACAGGGTTTCCCTTAAACCACAGCTGAACTAGAACTTGCTATGCAGATCAGGCTGGCCTCAATCTCACAAAGATCGACCTGCCTCTGCCTCATGTGCTGGGATTAATGATGTGCACCACCACACCTGGCTATAAGTTGCTTTTGGTCAGAGTATTTTATCGTAGCAACAGAAAAGTAACAAATACAGTCACAATACTCTTCATTTTAAAACTTTAAAAAGTTGAGCCTTGTGGCACAGGCTCATAATTACAGTTACTCCAGAGGCTGAGGTAGGAGGGTTATAAATTCAAGGCCTGCCAGGGCTACAGAGTGAGTTCAAAATTCAGTGAGACCCTATCACAAAATAAAAAAAGTCTGAGGGTATAGCTTAGTGGTGGAGGCCTTGCCTATTCACACATGAGACCATAGGGCTCAAAACGTAGTACCACAAACAAAAACACCTAAAAAAAAAAAAAAGCCAATCAGATCATTAGAATTAGATTCAGCCCATGGCCATAGTTTGCCAAATATAGTTCTAATTCAATGTTGCTATTTCCATTAAATCTTTTACTGATTGTGCTGGACAGCTTTAGTTGTCAGCTTGACACACCTAGGTTAGGGAGCCTCAACTGGGGAATTTCCTCCATTGGACTAGCCTGTAGCCATGTCTCTGAGGCATTTTTCTTGATTGTTGGGCAGGTAGTCCTGTATTGTATAAGAAAGCAGGTTGAGCACAGGCCAGGCGACGAAGCCAGTAAGCAGCATTCCTCCTCGGCCTGTGCTCCTGTCTACAGGTTCCTGCCCTGAGCAAATAAATAAATCCTTTCTTCCTTAAGTTGGTATTGATCAGAGCGTTTTGTCACAGCAGTTGAAGGCCAACTAGAACACTGATCAGTAATTTTTCTTACCTGGAACAATTCATTTATTAGCATCCTATTCAAATACTAGCACTGCCCAACACCATCAGGTCAAAAGTCTACTAGCTAGCTTTAAATGCTACCACAACGAAACTGACATCTACAAACCCAAGTTAAGATACTGACAAAAGGTTTGACTATATAGTCTACATGTGAAGGCCACATACAGAAGGCACTTTCTTCTGAATTTACTCACAATGATGAGCTGCTTTTTTGTTTCTTTATCTGTATCTCTGGAATTCATATTTTTCTGTATATTGGTCAGCTTTAAGAAGTTAGTGCATGTGGCAGATCCCTCAGAAGACTGTTCTTTAGCTGGAGATCTTGAAACAGAAATTTGATAAATATTACACAACAGTGAGAAGCATAACTAGTGAATCCAGTGCTAAGACTCGAATCCAGGTCTGACTTTAGCGAAGGAACTTTCCTTTGTGGTATCAGATGCATATATAGAATCACTTTGGAAATTTACTTCACTATAAAAAATGAACTTTTTCTTGCTCTATCAAATCTTAGGACAATATTTACCCATTTAAACATAAAAAATTCCCAGGTAGACTAAAACAGAATCTCACAGACTCAAGGCAACCATAGTCACCAGCAACTTTTCACTTGGGCAGTTAAGACCCAGTCTTAGAAAACAAGGTGGATGGCTCCTGAAAAACAATACCCAAAGTTGACCTCTGGCTCCCACAGGCATGCACACATGTATACAAACACCTACATGCTTGTGAACACACACACACACACACAGAACTTAGCCAGAAATTTCCTTGCTTAATAGTCATTTAGCATCAAATGGATAAATTTTAACACTGCTCAGAGCACACAAACTTAGATCTTCTACTTACCATGCTCTGTCCTCTACCCCCTTGCCTATCACAGTACTTAGCTTCAGCTAGGACTCATAATGGCATTAAACTACTCAAATTATTTACTCCTCTGGCCAAAATTTCTCCCACCTGTAAAATGGGGAACTATTAGTACTTCTATCATAAGACTGTAAACGCTCACTAAATTTTAGCCGTTATTAATATACTGTCATCCAGGGAAGGCAATAAAGCCTAATGGGTTTTGATTCAAATATGTGTTCTAGTCCTGGCTCTAGCACCTAACAGCTGTGAAATGGCAACTAAATTACTCAGTTCCCTCAGCTGATATGTAATTCATAATACTATTAATAACAGTATCTTCTGGGCTGTTATGAAGATGTTAAAGTGAAATAATAGACATAATCTACTTACTATAGCCAGGTACTATACAATAATGTTAAAATTATTTTAAATCTCTTACTTGAATGTTCATGTGTATGCCTGTATCACATGCCCGCAGTGCTTGTGGAGGCCAGAAGAGAGCACTGGATCACCCTGACACTGGAGTTACAGGGAGCTGTGAGTTGCCCAAAGTAGATGCTGAGAACCGAACCTGGGCCCTCTGAAAGAGCAGTTAAGTATTCTTAATTGCTGAGCTATCTTTCCAGCCCCAATTTTAATAATTATTACTTAAGTCCATGAAGGTATACAGTCCAACTCTTAATTAAATTCTTCTGAGGTTCTATGAGAGAAAAATTAATCTCATCTCCCATTCTCAACATTATTCTCTCATCTCCCTTAGTGATAAAGAAAAAACAAATGAACTCCAAATGAAGTGGCCTTATATGAGAGAAAAAGAAACCTATATAATTAATAAAACACAGATTAAAGCAAAAACAATTCCTACCTTTTAGTATTCACAGAAGAGACACTGAAGATAGGATAGACAATGGACTCAGGAGAAACTAGTAGAGGGAAAAAACAGCAATAGTTTGCATTAAATAAAATCTAAATCTTGAATCATAAAGCTTTGAAGGTTAACAAGACCAAAATATTTATATTACTCAACTTCAAGACTTAACCATAATCAAGATAGTACAAATTGGAAAGAAACAGGTAGGTAACGGAACAAAACAAACACCAAAAATTGATCCATAGAAATAAATCAACTGATTTTTGGCAGAGTCAAAAGGTAAGTCAATAGAGAAAGGACAGACTTCAACAAATGTTAATGTAAGTGAACACCCATATTCAACACCCAAAGTATATATAACTCATACCCTATGTAAAAGTTAATTCAACATGGATCACCAATCAAAATGTAAAATATACAAGGATAGAATAAATCCTGATTCTGAGTTAGAGTTGGAGACATCAGTATGAACTCATGCTAAAACATGAAGATGGAGATATAGAGAAATAATTGTAGATATGTATGTACACACATGCATACATTTTCCAGCCCTGTCTGGTGAAAGGGCCTAGAAGCAAGACCACTTTAGTAAACAACCAGAGGCCAGATCTGGGTTTCTAAATACCATTCTCCAGTAAAAGTAACCAAGGGTCTGTGGAGAAACTGTTGATTGTACAGCTGGAGAAAGGGAAATACAGAATGAGCCCGTACTATCTTGTCTCATCAAGAACTAAGAAAGTGCTCAAAAACCAAAAATAAAGATGAAACATGCCAAAGAGAACCTGAAAAAAGACCGTTAAAACTGAAATATTTGAGCAATAAAAACATTGGATTTAAACCCAAAATGTAATAAACATTCATGAATTCATACAGACACATGTCCATGAGTTCATTTGTTTATTTAAGTGAGTGGATAAATAAATGGAAAAGGGATACATCTTCCTTACAATGGAATTTCAAGAAATACTTATGTGTTTCCGTCCTCAAGTGATGAGGCTTAACCTCCACTCCCCACCAATGCAGGGTAGACTTTCAATGCTGGCTTCCAAGGAATATTTAAAAAAAAAAAAACTGTGCCGGGCGTGGTGGTGCACACCTTTAATCCCAGCACTTGGGAGGCAGAGGCAGATCTCTGTGAGTTCAAGGCCAGCCTGGTCTATATAGTGAGTTCCAGGA